CACAGAGAATCATTCTAAGGCCTTGAAATCAAATAAAACTTGCCTGGCTGTATTTCTTACTTGCTTGAAACTGATGACTTCTTTATTCCTTCCATTTTCTCCCTTTTGGAATGGGAATGTCTGATACTTGCCTCACCACTGCATTTTGTAAGTAACCTTGTAGTTTCATAGGTCAATAGATGCAGAAGAATTTTGCTTCTGGATGGATTATATCCAGAGGCTCACCCATACCTGATTTAGATTACTTAGATAAAGATTTGGGACTTTTTGAGCTCATATTTAGATGAGGGTTAAGACTTCTGGAGATGTTGGAATGGAATACATGTATTTTGCACATGGGGCAGATGTAAATTTGTGGGGCCAGAGGTTCAACTGTGCTGGGTTGAACTGTGGCTACCAAAAAACTTGCTCATGTCCTAATCTCTAAAACCTGTGAACATGGTCATGTTTGGATAAAGTTTCTTTGTAGGTATAACTAAGTTAAGGCTCCTGAGATGAGATCTTCCTCGATTATCAGCATGGGCCCTAAATCCAATGACAAGTGCCTGTAGAGAGGCTCACAGAGGAAAACAAAGAGAAGGCCATGTGAAGACAGAAGCAGACATTGTAATTATGCAGCCACAAGCTACGGAATGCCTGGGGCCACCAGCGGTTGGAAGACACAGGAAGGATTCTCCCCCAGAGCCTTTGGAGGCAGTGCAGCTCTGCCAACACCCTGGTTTTGGACTTCTAGCCTCCAGAACTGTAAGAGAATCAATTTCTGTTGTTCCAAGCCACCCAATTATTGATAATTTGTCACAGTAGTCCTAGGAAAATAATAGAGAAAATAAAATTGCTACATAACAGAAAATATCCCAAAGCAGTATCTTAAAATAATAATCATCATCTATTTTGTTCATGAATTTAGGGGATGTCTGGGTTTAGGTAGGCCTTTCTTACTCAGGGTCTCTCAGATCATTGTAACCAGAGGACACAGAGGTTGGCTAGAGCTGGACCATCTTAAAGGCACTTTCCCTCATGTCTAGCACTTGGACTAGTAAGACTCAAACAGCTAGGGGCTGGAGCTAGGGCCCCTTGGCCATCTCTTTCTCCTTCTACATGGTCCCCACATGATCTTTCTACATGGCAGCTGCATTGTAGAAGCTGTCACAAATATATTCCCAACCACAAAGGAAGAGAACATATACTCTACCTCTCAATGGGCATGTAAAGGAATCTGCAGGTAGTACCAATGACTATATTCAGGGGAGATGATAAAATTCTCCCCTCAGAGTTTTCTTGCTTTGTGAGGCAAGGAAGCTGCAATATTTATATCCCTGCAACCATCAGTCATCCACCAATTTATACACTGCTGGGAAAAACAAACATTCTCAGATCCTTCCAATTCTCCATGAGAGCAGGAAACATGGGTTCAGGCAGGCTGAAGGTAAACCTAAGAAAAATGTAGATGATGGCTGTTGGGAATGAAAACACTTGAGGGAGGCAGTGTGCACAGGCACTGTACTGGATTTCTGGGGATGTTGGTAGAGCTCTGAGAGCATCTGGGACATAGTCCCAACTCCATGTGGAAATGTAATACATCGTGCTGATGCCATTTCCCAGGACTATGGAAAGTCAGGATTATACAAATAAATGGTGCTGGGAAAATCTGTTATTCCTTTAGGAAAAAGTAATATTAAGGCCTATGCCACTCATGTTACAAAAATACAATTTCCTGAGTAATTACATAGCTAATTGTAAACAACAACAAACTGATACAAGTATGAGAGGAAAACATGTGTGGTGAAAATGGTCTTTCTAAGCAAGATGCAAACCCAGAGGTAATAAGGAACAGATTGACACTTTACATAAAATTTAAAATGTAGGTGTGACAGGAGACAATATAAACAGCTAGACAGAAACTGGGCAAAAATAAGTATCACATAGGATATGGGACAACATAAGATATTCAGAATGTATAAAGATATCCTATAAATCCATAAGAAAATGAAAAATAACCAATAGAAAAACGGGCAAAGAATATAAACTGGTGATTCAGAGAAGGAGTAGGCATGCCAATAAATATATAAGAATTTGCTAAACCAGCAGCATGAAAAATAAAATTCAGTGCAGTATCATTTCATCTCCATTAAATTAGCAAAAACTTTAAAAAGATTATCTTCATGAGCTAGAATGTGGCTATACTTCCCCACATTTTAAATTGGTTGAGCCATCCTGGAGAACAGTATGGCACTATTTATCCACATTAATAATGTGCACATTCTTTGACTAAAATTCTATTTTGAGGAAGCTCATCAAAAATGTCCAGAAAGATATATATATATATATATATATATATATATATATATATATATATATATATAGATGCTTACTACAGCATTATTTGTAATAGGAGGAAAGTGGGGGAAAACCTAAGTGTTCAACAGTGAGAAAATGTTTAAATAAAATGAAACAAGAAATACATATAACCAATTGTTCCAAACAGTCATCTTTGGCTATTAAACATACAAGATTTTGAAGAATAATTAAATAAAATAAATAAAAATTAAAAATACAAGATTTATAGACAAAAAACTACAAGAAAAAGTAGTAATAGAAAAAAGCAACTTGTAAAACAGTGTTGTTCTTATGATCCCCGATGCATTTAAGAAATTGAATGTAAGGGTATGTGCACACCATGTTTGCATGGGTCTACTGTGAAAAAGGTGTTATACACTAAACCTGACAAGGTAGGGGCTGAACAGGGGACACATGGCAGGGCTTACAAACTCAGTGATGCAAAGTAACTACACAGGATAGTATTGTGACAGAATGGACCTGGGAATTACACAGTCCCTCTGTTACTGTGGATTCTTTGTCCACAGCCAGAAAATTGGAATTATGGCTCTCAATGCCAGAGTTTGGTGAAAAGGAAAGGAACTATTTATTCAAAAGTTACACAGACTTAGAGTAATGACTTAATGTCTTCGTTAAAAATCCCAAAGTTTCTTAAAACACCCACAAACACACACAGTCCTTCCTTCTCCCTTTGTTGTAGCAGGCCAGTCTCAGAACATGCCAATCAGAAGTACCATCCTCCAGAAGAAAAAGAACAGAAGTCCACCACTCACTTCTTCTAGTTCCTCTCAGTCATCCGTGATCAACTGGTTTTCCACTGTCCCCAGCACCATCAGCTGTGTCCCCTCAATCTCCAGTTCTTAATCTAAAACCACATGGCACCTTCTCATGGCCCACCAGCAAGAGTCCTTTCACCCACTGCCCTCCCTGTAAGGTCTCCCATTGTCCCCACCCCTAGTGCTGCGTTGTGTCTCCTGTGTTCTTTCAAACTGTTGAGAGCTCTGCATGGCTGCTACATCTTGCTTTTCTGCTTCCGAAGTCACATGGTTAAGAGAGCCTCATCTTTTCCTTAAAACCATGTGGTTAGCCCCCCACATGGCTACTGCACCTGGGTTTAAATTTGAGCAGGAATCTTCCTCTGCAACCCCATTTCCGACTCCTCCCACAATCAGGTACATGTGACAGCACTCCTGCAGTTTTCAGCCTCCCTTGGCTGCCATAGTAAGTCCAGGCAGGCATGGCCCCATGGTGTGGAGTGAACCATCTCCAAGCTCTCATGCAGGCACTGTAACCAGGGGGAGCTGTTTTCCAGTTACGTCATGAGTGAAAGTCACTCCCCTGTGGTTCAAAGCAGGGCCACAGAAACTTAACATATCTATGAAGCTAGCCAGCTGTTATAGACATGTAAAATAACCGTTTCTACATATCAGGTATGAAGCCGGACAACTGTTGATAAGCAAAATAACTCTCAATGGCCCTGCTCCAGGTATCCCATCACCTAGCTGAGATTTGTGGGTGTGGGGACATCCTATACTTTTATATTTCCTGGACACCCCAAGTTCTGGACCCTGTTACAAACCCTTCCCTTGGGGGTCCTTGCTGCACCCTGTTACATTATCAACATAAAAACAGTTCCTAACTAAGAGGGTCATGGTGATTAATCAAGTCCCAGGCCTATAGTTTTCATGATAAAGATCAATTTTTACCTTAACTAAGGAATGTCTATTGTTTTGGAGCATTTAGGACAAGTACCTTTGAAATGTCAGAGTAATTTTTTTTTCCAGATCCCTGGAAGGCACAACTGTGGGCATCGAAGCAAAAGACACTTTTCATTATTATCTGGTTACCTGGATAACATCTCTATTTATTGTTAGTGTTGAATGTTAACTACCTGGCACCTACCAATGAAAAAGATATATGTAGGTCTCCATTTCACTTTTAATCAAATCCTAGAGATTAACTGCTCCACCCCCAGAGCTGTCTCTCATTGAAATGAATTTCAAGTATCCCTCCTTAACCTTATCTCCTTTGATTACAATGTATGAACTCAAAACTGCCATTCTACAGAGCATTTTTCCAATCTGGAAAATTGTTCCAGGCATATCCTCGAAATTTTGGCTCAAATAAACTCATATTAAAAAACTTTTCATTAGGTTGGACATTCTTTCCTCTGACACTGTGAAGACACTGGAAGGTTCCATACCTACCTGGTCTATGACAATACCTGCAAAGCCTTAGATGATGCACGGCACACAGTACTGTGAAGAGTTGGCTAGTTTTATTCATATTTCTGTATTTTTAATGATAATACATTCTGGGCCTACTTATGTAATTTAAAAGTAAAAATTATGGTTTTCAATTACGTTAAAAACTCTCATATGCAGGCAGAGGGCAAGCATCACTTATTTAATCCCTCCTTCCCGAAGCCCAGAACTGTGGCTAGCACATCTTGGTCGTGTAGGAATACATCCAAATACCCAGCGAGTTGTTCCAAAACTTCCTGCCATAGTGCAAGACTCTCAGTACATAAATAACTTAACCCACGCATTAGAGACAGACAGACCTTCCACTTCCACAGCAGCCCCAGCCGACGAGTGCGCAAGCGCGAGTAGGTGGTCCCAAGCGCTCGGTTGCCCCGCCCCCGGAGTGTCCTACGTCAGTGGGCCGCGCCACGCACGGAAACTCGCCTTCCAGAAGGAAGCTTGTGTAGGAAATTATGGCGACCGTCACAGAGCAGTGGGTGCTGGTGGAGATGGTTCAGGCGCTGTACGAGGTGAGCTCGGCAGCCCAGCGGCCCACGACCACCCCCGGCCCTGGGGAAGTGGGACGACTCGTGCGGATTTGTGGTCAGGGGCCTGGGCGGGATTGGCTCAGTCACGCTCGGATCCTCTGCGTCCTTGACTGGAATGGCTCGCGGGGGCGCGCCAGCCCCCGAGGTGGAGGGTAGGGAGGGACCGGCAGGAGCGCAAACCGAACGTCTAGCTTTGAGCTCCATCTGGCATGGAGCCCGCTGATGGTCCTGTTGTTGCTCTGGAGGGGAACATGTGGGAGGGGGCACAGGAGAGAGGTTGTTCCTCAAAAACCAGAGTTGGGACTGCTGGTAAAACGGGTGGTGAAGATTCAGTGGAAGAACTGAGTCTGGGGAGGTGCAAGGGAAGTCGGGTCCTCGGAACTGTGCAGCAGGAGACGGGGAAGAATTGTGATGAAGTGGTTTGTCCGTTTTTGTGGAGACGTCATGTTAGAAAAGAAGCTGAGTTATTTAGGATTTAGGTATATGAAATACAGTCGTTTGTCATTCTTTTGCATATGCCCCATTTTCCACCTTGTAAAGAGACAACTCTTTTGGTAGACTTTAAAGGAAGGGTGGTCAAGAGTGTGTTGAAAGTCTAGCTATTTCAAGTATGCTAGATAACATGAAACCAAATGTCAGTCATAGAGAATGTTTCTTCATTTTACATGTATTTACTGAGCTTCACCACAGTGTCCGATAGAACTTTCTATTCTCTGTTTGGGCTATTCAATATAAATAATGTCCACTAACCAGTGAGGCACTTGAAATGTGTCTAGTGCGACTGAGGGGCTACATTTTCTATTTAATTTAGTTTAGATGTAGATTTCAATAATCACCTGGTGACAGTGGTTATGGCATTGGACAGCACAGGTCAAGACGCAGGGATTAGTGCGATGAACAAACAAGAAGTCCCTGTGCTTATAGAGCTCACAATCATTTTGAGTGAATCTCAGTTCTGTGGACAATTTTTAAAAACTTAATATTGCTGCTTCTGGCATTGCTGGTGATGGTGTCTGCCATTGCAAAGCTTATGAGGAAGGACTTGCTGAAAAACAGCAAGAGCAGATGTGCCTTGACAGAGCCAGTGTGGCCTAGGTGATGTCCAACATTAGGTTAATAGTAAAAAACAAAAAAACAAAAAAACCCAAGCCATTTAAATTTAATGGTTTTTAAAATAAGTGAATAACTTTCTTTTTTCTGTTGTTGCTCCCTTTTGGTAAACTGCGTAATTGACAAAGAGTAACTCTTGGGAGAAGTACTTCTGGCTGTAACATTTACAGGAAAAGAAACCTCATTTATCATTTTCATTAATTCATTACAGAGTATCTCAGTTTTTCTTAGGATCCTTTGTTTAGTGGGGATGTTTAGTGACTTGGGCAGATGTTTGCCTACTAGAATCCAATTATTAAGAAAACCAAACGGATGTTTAGACTAGAGTCCTTATTTTGAAATGAATTATATTCAAGGAGGAGCCGCAGATTAAAAAGTCATCTTAAAGAAAGATCTCTTGCTCTCAATTTCTATACATTTCATGTATAGAATTTGAGAAGTCTTGTGTCATGTACCCTAAAAAGAAATGTGTAATAGTGTGTGTATGCACCATATATATATATAGTTTAAAAGTTATTTGTACATTAACCTGGAAGTTTACATAGGAATTTTTCAGCAGTTTGCCTGTCTCCACATTCAAAATATTTTTTTAATGTGGTGAATCATCATCACTTTCTTTCCGTAGAGTGTTTGAAAATAACTTGTGTTTACATTTCTAAATACCTCTTTTAAATGTTCAATAATCAACTATTGGGACTAGAGTGCCTTGTAACTGACTGGTGTTTAGTTGATGGTGTGGAATCTTCCACATGCTCTTTGTATGTCCAGTTGAACAAAAATTAGAAGTCACCTTGGTCTTTATCCTGGAAATGTACAGCTAAAAAGAAGATGCGACATAGAATATTTAATCAAAGGCATCTTTATGCTGTTGACCTGGAAATCACTACACACTTTTGGGGAACTACAGTAGAAAAACAGACCTGCTCTCCCTTTAAGCATTTATAAAGTCTTTTTCCTCAGCCATGTTGCAAGAAGGATTTTAAAAGGCTTACTAGAAAAACAGAGAAAGTGTGTAAGACATGCAAAACTCTAAGAATTATGGAAACTGGTTTCCAAATAACTTTCTTAACTCATCTATGGTAGACAGGGTTATAGAAGGCTTGTGAAGCTGTGAAGTCTTTGTTCCGGTCTTCTCCCAGCAGTAAAAGTTTAAATTACCAGTAGGATCTCATAGTTGATGTTATTTGACATGTTGGGATTTTGTATGGGATGTCATTTTAAAGATTTTTTTAACCTAAAGATGTTTTATATCTGCAATATTAGAGATTTTTTAATGTGTAAAGGAAATTGCCTACCATTAGAAATGGGAAAGGGAATCAGGAGAAATGCAAGGAACTTTGAAAGTAAATTATAAGAAGTAATAGGTTAACAGTAATTGCAAACAGTATTGACATGTGCATTAAATTTCACATGCAGGTTTTAGAAGTGTTTATTTCACTTTCTGTTTTGTTTTCAACTCACTTTTAGGCTCCCGCTTACCATCTTATCTTGGAAGGAATTCTGATACTCTGGATAATCAGACTTCTTTTCTCTAAAACTTACAAACTGCAAGAACGATCTGATCTTACAGTCAAGGTAAGAAATTAAAGTCCAGTGTTATTATTTGGTGTGTGATGATAGTTGCTTCATCTTCAAAAAAACCTGTTGTAGTGGCCAACTGTATGCTAAAATATTTTTCTGGAACGTAAGGAAATCAAGGGGAATGAAATACAGTGTAGGAAGAACATGGGAAAGCCAGGATGAAGTACCTACCCAGAGGAGTTCCATGCCGTAGCTTCTCTGCTTTGCTAGGGGCAAACTGCAGTCTTACAAGTAAGTGATAAAAGAGAAGCATGGGCAGCTACTGGATTTCCAATGTCCAAGTGCAATATTTTATGAGTTGCTTGATAAAAGCCCCACTCTTTCTGAAGTCTGAGTGGAAGTTTTCCCTGTAGTAAGACTCCTTCCCAGCCCACAGACCCCACCTTCCCACCCCATGCCAGGTGAACCTTAAGAATTAGAAGTGCCCATAGCATCAATGTAGGAGCACTTAGTGACCGCCTCAGTGGGAGAGAAGAAGAACAATTTTGACTGCAGGACAGTTTCTGTCACTCAGGTTGCTGTGCCAGGTACTTAGAGAGGCAGGGATTGTGAGAGATGTTTTCCTGCAAAAATCTCGAAAACATTGGTTCACAGGGCAGTATGGGGTGCAGCAGAAAGATGAAGCAGTGGGCTTTTCTTTACTTCCTGGAGCATTCACAGAAAGAAATGCAAGTGGAATCACCATAGCCATGTACGATTGCTTCCCTGGTTTCTCTTCTGCTGCTGCTGTCCTGGTTGTTAATGTTAATCATGAAACCTTCAGGCACTGTCTCCTAGAGAACATGAAGCGTGTGGTTCTGAGGGCAGGAAGTTTTGGCAACCCGGGTAAAGCAGAAGAAAGAGACGTCTCATTGCATGATTTCTTATAACCTTTAGTATGCTGGTGCATATTTGACCTCTGTTTGGAGGAATGCCCTAAACTTGACCATAGATCTCTCCCTCTCCCCCTGCTCCTTTTAACGAATACTTTGTGGAATTATCTTGCCACTGAACAAATACTATTTCTGTAGCATTGTAGTAAGGCTGAGCCCTCCAAGTCAGAAATCCTGCCTATATTTTTCCCTTGGTGTTTAGGAATTTTTTGTGGATAATTATGTGGCCATGACACAAATTAGTCCAAACATTCTTAGTTTTCATTTAAGCATATCAGCCCACACATATATACATTTTCAAAAGAGTAACTGTCAGCTGATTTCTCAAAAGAGACCTTACAGGCAAGAAGGGGCTAGAAAGAAGTATTCCAAGTCATGAAATCCAAAGACCTACATCCAAGATTGCTCTATCCAGCAAAGCTTTCATTTAGAATGGAAGGGCAGATAAAGCACTTCTCAGATAAGGTCAAGTTCAGGGAGTTCATCATCACCAAGCCTTTCTTATATGAAAGGTTAAAGGGACTTATCTAAGAAAAAGAAGATAAAAAATATAAAAACAGTAAAAAGATAGCAAACTCACAGGTATTAACAACCACACCTAAAACAAAAGCAAACTAAACAAACAACTAGAACAGGTACAGAAACACAGAAATGGAGGCCACATGGAGGGTTAGCAACAGGGGAGTGGGAGGAGGAGAAAGGGGGAAAAGGTACAGAGAATAAGTAGCATAGATGGTAGGTAGGAAATAGACAGGGGGAAGGCAAGAATAGTATGGGAAATGTAGAAGCATGAACTAAAGGGGGGAATGTGGGTGGGAGGGGGTGTGCAGGGTGGAGGGGAATGAAGGAGGGAGATGGGGCAAGTGTACATGATGGCCACAGCAATTAACAGCATAATCAATAAAAAATATTTTTAAAAGTGATATGTAAATCTAGTTTAGAATGATCCTCTGAAAGGAAACTTTGCTAGAACAGGAGTTAGTAATCACTGACACCTTACCCTAACCACAGTGGAAGAAAAAGGAACTGTGAGTGTTGTGAGTGGGAAGTGCCCTTGTCAGTTAGATGGGTCTACAGAAGCTCTTCAACAGCAGGGCATCCTGACTGGATTCTAACATGTGTCTTCACGGTAGCGGTGCACAGTGTGCATGACGTGTATGTACTCCAGGCTTGTTCGGATTGCTGTACTCTTCTGTGAGGTCATTGGCAGAAACACATGAGAAATTTAGTGGTTGATTTATTTTGTCAGTGTTTCTGAGTGCCTGAAAATCAGGTGAATGTGCCATTGATCCTGCTCTGGAGTTGCCCATCAGTAGAAGAATGCACAAAAGCATTTATCAGAAATACGAGGATAGATTTCAATGTCTCTGGATATATTTTGCTTGCTTGTTTGTTTTGTTGATTAGATACCACTTAGAGGTGAAGTCATAATGTACTTGTAATTAAGAACAAACTGATAGTAACCAGAGGGGAGGTGAGAGGGGATAATGGGGGAAAAGGGGGGAAGGGTTTTCAGGAACATCTATGAAGAACACATGGACAAAACCAAAGAGGGATAAGATCAAGGGTGGGAAGTGGGGATGGCTAGGGTGGAGGAGATTGGGGGTGGTAAAATGGAGACAACTATACTTGAACAACAATAAAAAAAGTTTAAAAAAAGAAGCATGAGACTAGAATTATTGAGAGACAGTCTATTTGCAAGGCAAGAATTGCTGTGGCCATCATGTTAATTTAGGTGCCTCATCTTATCCTGTACCTCCAGACTACATTTTCGAAATTACCTGTTTTTCTGATATGAGACAGGATAAGAAACTCAGACTAGTCAATATAGTTATAACAGATAAGAGTGAATAAAATCGCTTTTTATGACAATTTCCGAGCCAGATCCCATTGCAGGAATCGTGAGAGCTTTTCTTCCTGTATCTCAGCTGCACCCGAATTTCTGTGATGGCTTGTAGAAACAGTGCTTCATGACCCAGTCGATCTCTTCTCATAGTGGTCACCTCCATAAGTGCTTTGGGTGTGGCTTCCTGTGTTGTCTGGGAATAGAGGCTGAGCTGACTTACCAGAAGTCATGCTTCTCACCTTTGTATTGTAGACTTTCTTTTTGTTTTACAATTTATAAGGTGTGCTTCATACTTCACACAGTGAAAAAATTCTTACCTAGCAATAAAATTTTCTTAATTTTTCCAGTCACCCGCAAAACTACATGGAAAAGAGCCTTTAGCCTGTGGTAAGAGGTGAGGAGGGTAAGTGTCCAAAACTCAGAAGTGATTCTGTTTCATTTCTAGCCACAAGTAGACCTGTTTCTTGCAGTGTGTTCGTTATGATGGTTCCACTACAACAATTTAGATGCTGCTGGAGTCACTGTCCAGTGATTAGCTTTGTGCTGTGTTTTAACACCTTTTCCCCCCATAGGAAAAGGAAGAATTGATTGAAGAGTGGCAACCAGAACCTCTTGTTCCTCCTATATCGAAAGACCATCCTGCTCTCAACTACAACATCGTATCAGGGTAAATCACTTTGCTACTCAAAGGACTTGTACTCAGTTTCCTGTGGATAAAATTGCCAAAGTGAATGGTGGTTTAATGGTGTTCCTTTTTCACCTGAAGTAAAAGCTTTAGACATTTCTGCAGGTCAGAAACTATCTGCTTTAGTTTCCAGTATAAAAATTTCCTTTAGAAATTATATGGACATTTTTAAAAGTTTTTATTTACTTATTTTCATAGAGAAGAGAAGGGAGATAGAAAGAGAGGGAGAGACACATCAGTGTGTGGTTGCCTCTCATGCGCCCTCCACTGGGGACCTGGCCTATAACCCAGGCATGTGCCCTGACAGGGAATCGAACCAGCAATCCTTTGGTTAGCAGGCCAGCACTTGGTCCACTGAGCCACACCAGCTAGGGCTGGGATTTTTTTTTTTGATACTTTCTAATTTAGGCATTGCAGTTTGTACCCTTTTCTCAAAAAAATCTTTTTCAAAGTAATACACACACTAGATATAATATGTCAAATAGTTAGAAGCACTTAAAATGAAAAGCAACACTTCTGCTTTTTCCCACCTGTTTTTTTATGACTGTTAGATCTGTTGCAGGTTGCCTTCATAACTAGATATTAACAGTATGCTGACACTATTACTACTTGATTGATTAATGATGGGAAACACCTAATGACTCTCACAGTATGATTCATGAAACTTCAGCTCACTTATCCTACCTTTCTTGTTTCCAGGGTCTGTTCTCTTTCTATTTTTAGTTCTCCTGTTGGTTATCTTTGCATTTTGTGTGTGCTTTTACTTTTTGAAGATTTTACTTACTGTTCTTAAAGAGAGGGTAAGGGAGGGAGGAGAAGAAGAGAGACCGTGATGTGCAAGAGAAACATCGGTCGCTTGCTTGCCATATGACCCCACCCAGGGACCTGGCCTTATAGCCAGCAACCTTTCAGTTTGCATGATGATGCGCAACCCACTGAGCCACACCAATCAGGGCATTATATGTGCCTTTATTAACTAAGAAGTATTTGAAAAATACAGATAATACCAGACACGTGGGTATCAAATGTCTAGAATTTTACCTGACAAATTTTATCCAGCATCTAACAAAGTATAGGCAGTACCGCTTTGTTATCTTTGCTTGAAATATGTTTTTTAAAAGAAAGAAAAAACATTACAAATATAGCCAAAGAAACCCATATCACTTACTCTTGCCTCCCACACAAGATCACCACTGTCTTGAAGTTGGTGGGTGTTTTCCTTTGCTTATGTTTATACTTTTACAATATATGCCTGTCATCATGAAATATTTAGTATTTTGTTTAAAATCATGATGCAGGGTATGGTCTTGATTGTGTCCTTCTGCTTTGATCTAAGAGAGGCTTGTATTCTTCACTTCCGTGGATTCTTTGATCTTACAAAAATTTTGCATGTTCTGAAGTCAGACTTAACTAACCATTAATCTTATGGAAGAAATCCTTCCCTACCCCAAAGGTCTACTTTGCCTGTTTTCCATGTGATGGTCAGTTGTCCCAGCATTATTAGCTGAATGGTTCATTTTTTCACCTACTGATTAGAAATTCCCCTTCTTTTATGTACCAAGTACCCTTATAAAAGGTCTGCTTCTTGCTTTGTTTCTATTGTTTTTAGGTGCGCTTGTCTCTCCCTGTTCCAGAACCTCACTCTTATAAATAACACAGCTTGAGAATAGGCCTTGACAAGAGTGAGCCCTTCTGTTCTTGAGAATAGTCTAGACTTAGTCTTGACTCTGTTCTTCACTGAGAGTTTAGATTCAGTTGATCAAATAGGACCAAAAAATGGGTTTAGGTTTGTGACTAGCAGTGCATTGAATTCATAGATTGATTTGGAGAGAATTGGAATCTGGCCAGTAATGAATCTCATCACCCTGTACCTGGGTTGTCACCTGTATACTTGGGTCGTTTATGTCGCACAGTAAAGTAACATGACTTTCTTCATTAAAGGCTTGGCTTATCTTTTTTGTTTCTACTTTCCTTTTGAAATAATTGTGGGTTCACATGCAAGTGTAAGAAATAGTACAGAGATCCTTTGTAAGTTTTCCCCAAGGGTAATGTTTTGCGCAACCATAGTACACTATCACAACCAGGAAACTGATGTTGTATCTTCTAATGGACTTGTCTCTAGGTTCCAGAGTTTTACTTTCTGTCAATGAGAAGCGTCTTTTCCTTCTGTTCCTGTGTTATTTCACTGGCCAGGGCACCTTCCATGCAGTGTTGATAAGAGAGGTAACAAGCACCTCCGTGTCCCTGGCGGCTTGTAAGAGATAACCTGTATTAAGTTATGGGCCTGCCATTCTCTTCCTGGTTTGCAAAGGGAATGTTTTGGTTTTCAAATGAGAATATTAAAATTTATCAAATTTGTTTCTGTGTCTATTGAAATGCTCATGACTTTTCTCCTCCAATCAATTGCCATGTTAAATTATACTGATTAGTTTTTAAATTGGTTATGTCTATACATAAATTCTTATTAGAGAAACTGCAGTCCCTGGTGCCTCCCATCCTCACCCCCGATTCCCACTCTCTGGAAGTAATTCCTTTCTGCTTCTTTAAGCTTTCCCCCCCCCCCCACCCCTCTGGTATTTCCTTCTGTTTTCCTAAGGAACTTGCTTATGCTGTTATTTCTTGAATTTTTTTCCTTTCTTTCCCAGCTGTAATTACACTCATTAGTGGTTGGACAGAAAGATTGGCTGTCTGAAAACACATGCGCACTTTATGTCTCCAGGGCCATGGTAGCCCCTCTAGTGCCTTAGTGTGGACTGGAAAAGCCCCTCTTCCTCTGGCAGACACAGCAACCTGCTGTGGACCTCGGCTGCATACCACCTGCAGCTGCCCTGTTCATCCCTTCTCCCAGCAGAGTTCTGTTTTTGCATTATGTGTTCTTAGATTATTTTGTGCTTACATCTTTATAGCTGCATTAATAGTATTCATTAGTCAAGGTTAGCATCCATTTTTTTTCAATATGGAGAATATTTTAATTACATTTTCTTTCTTGTTTTCATATCTTTGCCCACTTGCTTGCTTGGTTTTACGTATTAGCCTACTTTATCCCATTGTCTTCCTCCAGAGTTATTTCTTGGGTCCATTTTCATTTTTCTTCCTGGAGCCATTGTCTTCTTGCTCCAGTCCTGACTGGTTGCTAAATAGAGCTGCTGCCCAGGGTGGCCCTGGGATCTCAACCTCTGCTTTAGCTCAGGAGTCCCTTTGTCTCTTTCCTGCGTTGGCAGTGTCCTCTGTTTGAGTTTACGCCCATGTATGAGTAGAGTAAAGGTGGACTCCTGAGGAAGGCTATGGAAGGTAAGTTTTTTGAAGCCTTATACATCTTAAAATTGCTTTTCATTTAATCTTTTACACTAGAGTGATTACTTTATCTGTTTTTATCACTCTCTTAGACACACTCCAAATGCCTTGTGAACTTACATACATTTTTTCCAATATGCAGAATAGTTTCATTGTAATCAACAGCATAATGTAAATAGTGTGCAAAAAACAGAAAAAATGATGTTTTGTTGATATTGATATACTTAGAGTTACTCTTCAGTTTATGAAGTACCTCTTTACATTCAATACTGAGTTAACACAAGAGTAAGTGAATTTACTTAACTTGGATGGATTTTTCCCCTTTAAATAACAGCCTTGTTGAAATATAACCCATATACCACAATACTGACCCTGTTAAGGCACCCAGTTAAGTGACTTTCAGTATAGTCACAGAGCTGTACAACCATTTCCACCATCCAATTCCAGAATATTTTCATCAACCCAAAAAGAAAGCACACACCCATTAGCAGTCACTCTCCCTTCCGCCCACTCTGCAGCCCTCAGCAGCTATTCATTTACTTCCACTGTGGATTTGTCTATTTTGGATGTTTCATATAAAAGGAGTCACATATGCAGTACTTGGCCTTTTGTGTCTGCCTTCTTTCCCTTAGCCTAATATTTTCAAGGTCCATCCATGTTGGACCTTGTGTCCCACATGTGTCAGTGTTTGGTTTCATCCTGATGGATGAATGATAACTCCACTCTGTAGGTAGATCATGAGCTGTTTGCACATGCATCAGCTGATGGCCGTTTGTGTTGTTTCCACTTGGGAATACATGAACAGGAGTGGACAAATATCCACACAATTGTGTGGACACATATTGTGTGGACACATGTTTTCATTTCTCTTGGGCATGTACCTGAGAGTAGTGGAATTGTAAGTCATACAGTAACTCACTTTCAGGAATCACCACACTGTTTTCCAAACTGGCTGAATCATTTTACATCCTACAGGCCATGAATGAGAACTCTAACATCTCCATGTCCTGGCCAGCACTTTTTGATTACAGCCATCCTAGTAGGTGGGAAGTGGCATCTCATTGTGGTTTTGATTTCACTTCGCAAATGGCTAGTAAATTGAGCATCTTTTTATGTGCTTGTCGGCCAATTGTGGATCTTCTTTGGTGAACAGTCAGTACTTAAGGATTTTGCCTGTTTTTTAATTTGGTTGTCTTTTAATTGAGTGGTAAGATTTCTTTATATATTTTGGATAGTAGGCCCTTATAAAATATTTGACTTGTGAATATTTTCTCCCGTTGTGTGAGTTATTGTATCTTTTTTTTCTCACCGTGTACTTTGAAACACTAAGGCTTTAAATTTATTTAAGATGTAATTTTTTTATTGATTGATTTGAGAGAGAAAAGAAGGGAGAGAAACATCAATTTGTTGTTCCACTTATTTTGCATTCATTGGTTAATTCTTACATGTGCCCTGTGACTGGGTTTTGAACCTGCAAGTTTCACGTGTCAGATGATACTCTAACCGACTGAGCAACCTGGCCAGGGCCAAATCTTTTTAATTTTAATGAAGTCCAATTTATCTATTTTTACATTTGTTACTGTGTTTTTGTATATCTAAAATCTTTGCCTCATTCAAGGTTATAAAGATTTACTCTTCTGTTTTCTTTTAAGAGTTTATCATTTTTGCTCTCAAATTCAACTCTGATT